TCACAGTGAGGACTGGATTTCATTGGGACACTGAAAGGTATTACAAAATGCCTCTTGGAGGAGGTGATAGAAGCCATGGACTCTCCCTTCAGATAAATGCCCATGTATACAAATGCACACAGTCTTATAGACAATTCAGGGGTATATGCATCTCAGATGTAGATCCCTGAACCTAGATTAAGAACCTCTGGGGTAGGCCAAAGACTCTTCTCCAGGTTTGTTTCAATATAGTGACATATTCTTAACTTTATTTGAATGTAGAGTAGCAAATGAAATTTCCCCCACCTCTACTATATTTGCTTTTTAGTAACAAAGACAAATGTTTGAGAAATAGAGCCAACAGTGTTATAGTTCTAAATTTGCGGGGAGGAAATTAGTGAAAGACCTTTGGGAAGACAGAGGCTGATTGCCAGCAGAAAGACAAGCAGTTGTAAAACAACTGCAATACTGGTGTTGGGATTTGGACTTGGATAGTAGTATGCAGAAGGAAAGGGGTATCTATCATGACCTGCTATGCTTTGGGAAGGCACATTACGGTGGCTGGCCTCCAATATGAGACGACCCATGATCCTTACCTTCTGATGTTCATGCCTGTATTTATTTCCTCTCCTCCTGCCTTGACTCAGTGCAGCTCTATGTACCCAAGAAGCATGATGTAGGTGACAGTGTGTGATTTCTAAGATTAAGTCATAAAAAGCGCTGCAGCTTCTACATGGATCTCTTGGATCTCTCATTCTGGGGAATCCAGCTGACATGTTGTGAGGACACTCAAGCAGTTCTGTAGAGAGGCCCACATGGGTAGGAACTGAGACTTCTCACCAATAACCAGCACCAATGTGCCTGCCTTATGAGTGAGCCAACTGGAAAGTAGATCCTGCAGTCCCAGTCAAGTCTTCAGAAGACTGAATGCCAGCTGAAATCTTAACTGCAATGTCATGAGCGTCTCAAACCAGAACTGCCAGCTAAGCTGCTCCCAAATTTCTGACCCACAGTTTTGGAGGTAATTTGTTTTGCAGCAATAGACTACTAATACATACACTCAAAATTCTCAAAGGGTGAACAATATAAGGGATCCCTCCTTCCCAACTCCCCCACCGCCCAGGTCACCTAGAGGAGCATCAGTGAGATGCCATTTAGCTATAATATTCTCCAAGTATTATCCTAAATAAGTCATTAGATTGAATCATCAGAAAAATTAGAGGCTTCTCTCTCAGCCAAATGGTCATTCTAAACACTGACTGGACATACAGCTCTTGAAAAGCAGGAAATTCGATGCTAAACCAGTTTTGGTGGATTTCTATTAATATAGAAACTAGTAGAAATACAGATTTGTCCTTATGAAGACTACTCTAAGAAAATCACATGTCTGAACTACTGTGCTTGTTGTGTTCACCATAATTTATGAGGTCTATTACAAACTAGTCCAAAAGTGAGCCACTATTCTGGGAGATCTGGAAACTGTTCCTAAGGATGGTTGAAGAATCTAAGGCTGTTTAGTCTGGAGAAAACACAGAGAGCATTTTATAGTTGTCTATTTGAAGGCTTAGTATGTGGAATAAGAGTAAACACATCTTGGATTGATCAAGAGGGGAAGAGTAGGCCTAATGACAAATTATAGGAATGTAACTTTCACTTCACTTATAACAACAGGATATGCTGTAGAGAAAACTATGGCACTCCCTCTCCTTGGAAAGGTTTAAGCCAAGGTTGGCTAATCTCACTTCAGAGATGTGGTAAGAGTGATTCATTCTGGCAGTATCTGGAAGACTGATCTATAATAGATGACCTCTAAGATGTTGTTCCTGAAAGCCTTTTCCTCCTGAAAGTGTGTTGTTACCAATGGTTATCTCTAAATAAGAAATATCAATATAGTGGAAAGAGTGTGCATTCTAGTAGAATCAGAACTTTATTTGGAACTTACTAGCTGTGTGTCTTTGGGCAAGACATTTACCCTTTCTGAGCTTCAGTGTCCTCACTATCTCTCAGGGCTGTTCTGAGAATTCATTAGATGACACAACAGTCAAAACACCCATTTATTGGCATTTAATGCATGTGTGGTTTTCTTTGTTCCATTTTCTATAAGATGATTTATGATCAAACATCTGGGACCAATTAAGATTTTTAAAGTACAGTATTGAAATGAGCTAATTTTCCTAGGCTTCCAGTGTGGGTTTTCACTTTTTTAAAAACAATAAACTTGATTAAGATTTGATTAGATGCTTTGTGACACAGCATCTTTAAAAAACTGACTAGGATGGTGAAAGTAGAAACGGAAGGAATCAGAAGCCAGATGGCCACTATCATCTTTGAAGTCTGCAATTGCAAGATCATCGTTTGAGTAAAGTCTTTCTTTCCAAGAGAGCTATTGAACAAACACACAAACTGTATTACTCAACATGATAAAAGTATTTTAGCTTTCTGGAGGATATTCCAAATTTCAGTATGAAAAACTCAGTGACAAGCACTTTATTTTCTCTGAATTTTTAAAAGAAACTGGAATCTCACTGAATGAATCAATACCTGTTTTGCAGCTGACCTCCTTTTGACTTCCAAGATTAAAAGAAGCGGAAGTAAATAAAAATCCCACAAATACTGGAAATCAATTTTTATTTACAAATAATTTTCTTTAAATTTCTATTTTCTTTGTTAACAAAAAGAGTTACCCCATGGGCAGAAATCACCCTGAATTACTAAACTATCTTACATGTACTAAAGAGTTAATATTGTTAAAGTAGAGAAGTATTTATTATTAACAATTGCAAATCTTTTATTATCTATTACCATCGCACTCTTAAGAATTCTCATAAGGGGCTGTCTTTAGTAACAAACGGTAACTGAGATGTGCAATTGTTCTTTCACATCTCCAATTCTTATCTGCAACATGTACAGTGATTTAAACAGGCAGCTCAATGCTCATGGCCGCCTCTTACCAACTGCTGCGATCTTGTATCCCCTCAATGGTAATTATTTTTCCTACCACAAATTCCAAGTCAAACACTATCAATATTCTGGGGACCACCCTTTTATACATTGTTTTATACACATACCTGTAAATACACATTTTAACAAAAATAGGATATTTACATACTGCTGTTATTCTGGCCAAGTTCAACATCATTAAAAACATTTTTAGGTACTAACTTAATTCAAGTGGCTGTAAAGTTTAAAAAAAACCCCACCATTTTTGTCTGACATTATATCATCTTTATGCCTATGTATTTTGATTTGTTGGATGTTCATTGCAATTTTAAATGTTTTTGTCCATGCCAGTGGACCTTTGATAGACTCTGTTTTAAATAGTGCTTATCACTGTGAAATGCACATTCTATTTTAATATTTACAATTATTAAAGTACACTTCATTAATAATGTACATTTCAGAGTGCCATGTGAGATGGCGACATCACCTCTAAAGGATTCCTGGAAGTTGGAGTCACAAACGTAAGTGACAAGAGCTGCAGGGTCATGTAGTAGTTAGGACTTCCTAGCTTAAACAGGAATTTGACAAAAAACAGGAAGTCTTAGGGCAGACAGCCTAGGGCCTCTATGGTGGCACAATGATGTCATGAAAGATCCCAGCCTCTTTCAATTTTTCTGCTCTGCCATCCTTGGTATGTAGGCCTTTGTTCTCCTGTTTGTTGCTTCATGAGCAAACTGTGGGTGCTGTAACTCCTTCACATTGTCCAGGAAAGAAGACAGGTGTAGGGCAAGGATGAGCTCTGGTTGGCAGAGCTGGACTATTTCTAAACGCTTTCTTAGTAGCCCTGGTAGCAACTTTCATCTCATTGGCTAGAACTGTGTCAAATGGCTGCCCCTAACTGCAAGGGAGTCTGAAATAGTATTTTTAGCTAGAATTAAGGTTCCATTAGAGTGACTGGGTAGCACAGTCTATTACAGAAAACCTGCATCATAGCAAGTTGTCATTTCAGAACTGGAAATAAAGGGACTTCACTCATTTCAGATGCGCAGTTAACTGAGTACAGCTAAGACATGGTAAGTGTTCTACTATAAAGAGCAAGGGGAGTGGAGGGAGGGTGTAAGGGATCCTACTTCATTAGCTGTGGAGGGGAAAAATTTCCCATTGTTTACTAATCCAGTGGTAGGTAGCTCGAAGCTCCCCTTTCTGATGCCGAGAAGGAAAGAGACCGGATCCCAAAGCCCCCTATATTATCTGTAGGTGGAAGTCTGGAGCTATGAAAACGCACTTCTAACATTTAACTTAACTATACTGACTCCTAAACCAGGGCAGAAAATGAAGAGTAAGGCAACTTTGGGCAGTAGACATAACCTTACGTTCCAACGTCTAAGCTATAAAACAAAAAAATGATACTGCTATCTCACTTCATCACACGCAGTAGGTGCTCAGTGAACACTTGTCAACTTCTGCGAAGATTAAGAGGAACAAGACGGAAACTGAAATCATTTACTCATCAGTAGGCAGTCACGCAGGCATTACCATCCCCATTTAGAAAAGTAAACGCAGGCCCAGAAAGGTTAGCCAGGGTCCCACAAGAAGTACAGGTGGACTTCACGTTAACTTAAAGCCTGTCATCCTTCCGCAGTGCACCCCACGGCCTCTTCTCCGCCAAAGCTCTTGGCACCGCGCTTTACAGACAGACGACTTCAAAATTTTATAAGTGTGATTCAGCATCAGGCAGGACGCTAACTTTTGCAGACAACTCTTGGGACGGTGAAACGCTTCCTAAATCTTCAGGGTGTGGTCAAGACGGTATGCTAGCGCCAGCTAAACTAGTGGCTAGGCCTCCGTGTGGCCGGGGGCCGAGGCCTAGCGAACCGGCAGGACCGGCAGGCTCCAAGGCGCCCGACCGGCTTCTGGTTAACGCGGAACTCGACAGCTGCTGACCCCGGCACACCGGAGGGCGGCTGCGAGGCCGGCGGGCCACGCGCAGGGGCGTGCCGCGCGTGACGCACTTCCGCCCTGAGCCTTCCGGCTTAAAGGGGACCCAGACCCTCCTCACAACAACAACAAAATCACCGCGCTTGCAGCCGGTACCGCGGCTCCGGTCCCCGCCCTTCTGCCACCTGCTGACGCCTCGGCCGCGCCCGGCTGGTGCCTGCTCTGCGGTACCCAGCCCGAGGGGTCAGGCAGAGAGCCGGGCCGCGCCCTTCGGCCAACTTCTCTCACTGCCACCCGCGCCGCCTCGCGAGACCGGGGGCTGGGCCGTGTTCGTGGCCGCCGCGCAGCAGGAAGGGAGCGGCTGCAGGGGCGAACGCCCGGCCGAACTGTGCGGCCGGCGGCCCTGCCTGGGCGCGAAGGGCGGCGGTGGCGGGCCCAGCTGCCTTCTTTCAGGTACCCGCGCCCGGCTGTCCGCCCTGAGCCACCCAACTCCTTCCCTGGCCAGCGCAGCGGGGCGGTCGCGTAGGGGCCTTGTTGCGTTTCAGCTTGGGGGTCGCGGCGGGGGCGGGGCGGTGACCGCGGCGGTCGTGTCCTTACCCCTCCCATCCTCCCTTCTCATCGCTTACTCTCTCTCCCCGCGCCTCCTTCTACAGTCCGGAGCCCGGCGGAGCCCGGACCTGGCCGGGAGAGCTGCATCCACGGCCCAGCACCCAGACCCCGCCGCCGCCACCGCCGCCGTCGCCGCCACCACCGCCTCTGTCCATCCTTGGTACTGGCAATGGCCTTCATATCGCCCGATGCACTTGTGACTAATCTGGACACGGAATACTAAGAACTCACTTCCGTTCTCATCCCATTCGCGCCAGCGGTAACCACCTCGGTTCATTTGGGCTTAACTGCTGCTCCTCTTGACTCCGTCCGACTTTGGAGGCATCATGGACCAAAGTGGGATGGAGATTCCTGTGACCCTCATCATTAAAGCACCGAATCAGAAATACAGTGACCAGACTATTAGCTGCTTCTTGAACTGGACCGTGGGGAAACTAAAAATGCATCTATCTAACGTATACCCTAGCAAACCAGTAAGTGTGTAAAAAAGCTGGGTGCAACTGCTCTGACCAGCTTTTCGTGCCATGTACCTTCCTTCTCCCTGTTTCTCCCCTCCCCTCTGGAATCAAATAGGTCTCTCTTGGTAGACTGCGAAGTATTTTGAGTTCTGAGGTTGTGAGTGTCTCCCGAGTGTCCGAACCATCATTAATATCTTCCTGATGAGATTCAGTTAATTAGGAAGAGTATGCAGAAATATCAAGAGACTTAAGAATTGGCAGGCACGGGAAGGACACCGTTTTCTTTGGACTTAAAGTCATCAACTTAATATGGGAATGACAGATGCATCCTTTTAAAAAAAAAGATGAAGCACTACAACCCATATTAGAGCTTTTATTGCGTAATAGACTAAAATCCCATTTTACTTTCAACAGTTGGTGCAGAAGTTTGAATAGAAATTGAAAATAATGTTTTTTTCTTGGAAATTTAAGTATGTGACCCCTGTAAAAATTATACTTTGAAGTCTACTATATAGGCCAGGCACAGTGGCTCACTCCTGTAATCCTAGCACTCTGGGAGGCCAAGATGGGAGGATCGCTCGAGATCAGGAGTTAGAGACCAGCCTGAGCAAGAGCAAGACCCCTTTCTCTACTAAAAATAGAAAGAATTTTAAATTATATATATATATAAACACAGAACCACTATATATGTTTCAGGAAGCAAAGAGTTAAAGATGTGGGTTCACTTTCTTCTGACACTACTCCTTTCACATTTTTCTCCTGTAGAGGATACATCGACATTTCTTTAGAAGAGAACAGTTCTTTCATCCCCCATCATTTGGTACATCTTTTTATTCCTTTCATATCGTCATATGTAGATCAGTGTTTTCCATTCTGAATCATATCTGGATATTACAAAGATAATAAATAAAATACAGACAGTACAGCTCCATTTGTCCCCAAAGTCAGTTTTGAAACGACATGGTTGGTAATTAAGAAGTCTTAGAATACTTGAAAAGAAGAGTAATGTCTTATAAAGTACTATGTACAAAAGTGAGGCTTTCACATTCTCCATTGCATAAATTTTTTATTCTTTTTTTCTTTTTTTGAGACAGGATCTCCCTCTGTTGCCCAGGCTGGAGTGCAGTGGCATCATTATAACTCACTGCAACCTCAAACTCCTAGGCTCAAGCAATCCTCCTGCTTCAGCCTCCCAAATATTATAATTGGGGCTACAGGTGCATGCCACCACACCTGGCTAATTTTTCTATTTTTTATGGAGCACTAGGGTCTTGCTATGTTGCTCAGGCTAGTCTTGAACTGTTGGCCTCAAGCTTCCTAAACTGCTAGCCGTCACACCCAGCTAAATTTTTCTTCTTGACTAAGTAGTGTTCAGTTACTAAACCTTTTGTTTAAATAATGAAGAGACTTGGATTTTAGGGTGATAAATATTTTTGTCATCAGACAAACTTAAGCATGGATCCTTTGGAAGGCAACTGTGCTCTTTAGGCTTAACACTTGTTTTATGCACCTAAGTAAGGAAGGCATTTGATCTGTATCAAGATATTTGTGAATTAGGACTGTTCTAGTGTTGCAATATTAAGTTTAGTTAGGTTTTTAGTCTTCTAGAATAACTACAGAAATAGGGCAGTTATTGCAAAAATGGGAGGTTTAGAAAAACAACTTAGGTGGCATTAGCTGTGTTTGTCAGTACTTTGTGATAAATATTTTTAGTAGGGGGCAAGAAAGCCCTGAGTATTTAAGTACTTGGAACAAACTAGTTGGAGCTCTCATTTATTCAGACATTTTGTTTGAAACTTAAAATTTATAGAGAGAGTAACAATTTGAAAATTTCTCTTTTACAAAAGATTTCCTGTTGCATATGATTAGTTTTGCACATTTTTGAAGTGGAAAATAGCTTTTCAAAGTGGTCAAAATTGAAAGTCATAGACTTCCATAGTACCACCTAAATACCATTTGTAAGTACTTTTCTTGAGCATATATACTTATGTGAGATCTTTGTTTATGTTATTAAACCAAAAGGGACATGGTCTGCAGTATGTAGACCAAGAGTTACCACTTTACTAAAACTTTTTTTTTTTTTTTTAAGTTGCCTTATCTGCCCCAGGAGAAGCCTGCTTTTGGCAGGAGTTCTGCCTGTGCAGTGCTAATCACTAGTGGAGGACTGTCAGTGCCCTTGTGTATTAGTCAGCTACTTGACGACAAGATCAGTTGCAGAACTTCTCTCCTCCCTCCGAGCTGCCTACGTCTTGTAGACACACTGCAGACACTTCTGGAGACTATACCAAATACTATGCAGTCTATTAATGACCTAACCTTGTAGCAAACTTTTTCTCTTCTCTGGCAAGTTTTCTTCAAGTGAATTGTAATGTCTGAAGTTCTTTTCTAGGTTAATGAGAGTGGGTGGAGCCTAGGGCTGGGGAGTTCATGTATTTATTGTTAGAGAATTTTGCTGAAAACTTTGTATAGTTACGAGATTTTTCAGGTTTACATTCTGATTTATTTATGCTGTAAGAATTGATTTGAAGCATCACAGTTGCTGAGCAGCTGTTTAACGATACCCCAAAGCCATAGGTAGTCCACAACACAGGAATTTGAGTCCTAAAAGTTACTTGGTGAGGTTGTTATTTAGAATTCAGAACAGTTTGCTTTTAGCAGTATTACAAAGGAATAAGTTCAGGTTCTTATGACCACCCATACTGATTACTTAACATCGATACTGTGTGTGTGTTTCAAGTGCTGTTTGGTGTTTAATGGAGATCATTTCTTGTGCCCCTTTCTTGCACATCTGCCTGATGAAGGTGGGTGGGCTTGGAAGCAGAGTAGGGCTCCAGTACCTTGTAGGAGCAGGAGTTCCCCAGTAAGAAGTAGAAAAGTTGATGGCTCTGGTTAACACTGCTCTGATTGGATCTGATGGGTCTGGGATAGGTGGAGGGCCTTGGTCCCTGTGGGCAGTGGCTCCTAGGAAAATAAATGGGAACTGTTGGAGGAGGGAAAATGGAGATTTGAAGTTGTCCTTTTAGGATCCCTGCAAGGGTAGGTCATATGTCTACATGCTGTTAACGGAGTTTTGGCTAAACTCTGCAAAGTCTTAAAATCTTAAGATCCTAGCTTTATGGTCAGATACTGATTTGACTTAATCACAGATAGTTGCCCTGTGGATATTTAAAATTCAACTTTCCTTCCTCCAATAAACTCACAATAAATGTACCCCTCCCCACCTAAAGCACACTTTCTTGGACTTCATTTATTTATTTAACTAGGATTTTATTGATCTGGCATTTGAATATCTCTGATTAACATGAAGATGATGTTAAGAGTCCTTCGCTCTTACGAAACTCAGATCTAGTGGGGGATGCAGACATGTAAGTAAATAGCTATATTACGTTACTAGTGTGATTCAGGAGGGATGTACTGTGTGCTGTAGGAGCACAGGGAATGGTTAACTCTGGAGTAGGGGTTAGGGGAATGTGTAGCCGTTTCAAGAAAAGGTTCACAGGGACATTTACATTTTTGTAAAGATTTGATAACAGTTTTAAGCAGACAAGATGAGCCAGAATAATCATCAGATAATCTTTTTTTTTTCTTTACTATTCTTTTAGAGTTAATGTTGGCACTGAGTAATACAGTACTAAGTGAAAAGATTATAAATCCTTAATGGGTTATGAAGGGAAAAGTATTTTCTAGTTAGGAGTTTAGACAGTTGCCATATTTATGAAACCGTTCACAAAATGGTCATTAAAAACCTGAGATGTGGAATTGAGCACTTTTGGAGTATAGTTAACTTTCAATAATATTGATAATTAGTTTAGGACTTGATTTAGGGACTGGTAAGTGCTCCAGCTCGTGTTGATAACCGGATAGTTAAGAATCTTATTCTAATGTGACATTTGTCATCACTTCATGACTTTGGTTTTTCAGATCCTGAAATTGGCCTGTAGTGTGAAATCATTCTGAAAGTTTGGTAATTGTTATTAGATGGTAAAGATACCTTACAAGAAGGCCACTTTTACTTGGTTTTCAGATGTTGATCTGGGTTTAGACTTAGTTATCAAAGATGTAAATATCAAAGTGGTTGAACTTGTTATCTAGTAGAATGAAGTATCCTAGGAAAAACTTCAAAAATATGTATTTAAATCCAATTAGGCACCTTTCTCATTATCTCCTCTTACTGTCCTCATATACAAACAGTAACTAAAATGGATCTGACTCACCCTGAATTCAATTTTGAAGTCAAATCTTTCTGGCCCTTGGCTCTCCATTTTTCAGTCTTGGGATCAAAAATGCCTCTTGCTTGTGTCCCTCAGTTCTGGGTAGATTTCCTCTGTCTCTAAAGTAGTCACTTTCATTACTTTGGTCTTCCTGATCAGCTAGGCAGGTTTGTGCTGCCAAATTATTCCTTTATTCTGAGATTCTGTTAGAATTAAAGAAGCAAGAGTAGAACCAGTTGTATAGTTTCTATTCTGAGAATGTAACATTCCTTATCCAAATTGCCAGAAGGAAGTCTTACTTTCATAATCAGTGGAAATAGCTTGTAATAAATCATTTGAAATTTATCTCTTTTTCATTTTTGTAATTCCCTCTTACCTTAGGCATGTCATTTTTAAAACCTGATAGTTTAAAGACCTTGGAACTGTTGATTTAAAGGGACTATAATCCATACACATAAATTTTAATTTTTGTTTTATAAGACTATTATTTTATAAAATTTTAATAAATTTAAGAGGGTTTCATATAACCTAGCAGTGTAGTTCAAATTTTTAAAACCCTTTTTGAGCAAAGGATACTCTTAAATTAAATGTGAAGGTTGATAAAAAGCAGACTAAGTTAACAGTTTGAGTGACTACTGACTAAAATTTGTTTTATTAATGTTCTTTGTAGTCTTCTAATGTCTTTATGGAAAATAACAGCACTGTGAAGGTAATGCTTTGTTTAATTATTCATCAATGCTTTTTAAAATAGGATTTTTGTTTTTAGAACTCTGTTTCTCAATATAAATACTGGTTTGATTGTTT